CCGTGTTTGGGTTGCTTGTGCAATGCCAGCCTTGGATGGACTCCTGCAGAGGGTTGTTCCACAGGAGACACAGGATCAGAGTGAGTGTTGTCAGCAAGGTCTGTGTCAGTCTCCAAGGAGGGGACTTGCAGCTGCCAGGAACAACTCTGCTGATGCCAGCTGGGTTGGAGGGGGTGGATCTGCAGAAGACTGTTGGGCAGGGTGTGCTGTTAGCAAGGTTGGTGGAGATTATTCCTGGTGTGCTGGTACTGGCAGATGTCCATATATCCACACTGGGGATGGGAAATGGCTCCTGTAAGCCTCTTTGTTCCTAGAGAAGTCTCCCAAAGATCCCTACCCCTCCAGTACAAACTCTGAGATTAGTAAACAAATCTACCTCCTGGATACCCCAGGTGTTTTTCAAATTGCTGTTTCTGTGCTGTATCTCAGTGGAACTGTTTGTTATGCTGTCTTTTTAAGAGTAGGGACTCCGTTTCTTCTCACCCTGGGCTCTCCCAGAGCTGAGCCCATTGACTTTTTAACTTCCAGGTGCTAAACCCCATTGGTTTTAAGAACTCACAAAGCTGGGCTTCTCTGGCTTTCAAAGCTAAATGTTCTGGGGATTTGTCTTCCCAGTGCATGGCCCCTGTGCCTGGGGTGCTTATTTATCTCTGTACCCACCTCATTCTTCCCTTTTGTGGACAGTTATGCGGGTCTATTTGGTTCCACTAAGTCTTTGCCTTCCTAGCCTCCTTGATGTGGCCTCTTCTCAACATATGTGTGGAGAGTCTGTTTTGCCAGTCTTTAGTGTTTTTCTGGTTATTTACACTGATGGGGGTGTCTTTAGTTGTATCTGTGGGATGAGGTGAGCCTAGGATCTTCCTACTCTGCTATCTCCCTGAAAGTTCTTGCTCTGCATTTTTAAATGTAATGATGATTAGGACGTGCCCCTGGTATTTAGCACACGAGATGGGTTTTGGGAGGTAGGCTGGCATGGACACTAAACATCCTGTACTGTATCTGGCAGTCCCATACAAGAAATAATTTTTTGCCCAATAAGGCAGTAATATCACTTTAGTTGAGAAATACTGAGTCACTGCAGTAAGAGGAAAAAATTGAGGCATGAAGATTAGAAATAAGAAACAAAACTATCTTTCTGCGCAATGTACTCATTTAGAAAATCAAATGAAGTAACAAATTACCAGAACTAAGAACCTGATTTCAGTAAGGTAGCTGAATATAGAATCAACATGCAAAGATCAGTAGCTTTCCTATATATGAACAATATCTAAGTAGAAATATTGAAAATATCATACTCTTAATATTGACAATAACAAAGTGCCTAGGAATATCATTTAACAAAAACATGTGCACAGTATTATGGAGAAAAATGTAAATTATTCCTTAAGCACATGAACAAAGATTTGATAAAAAGAGAGGCATACCATGTTTATAAATGGGGAGAGTCATGCTTAAATACATAGGATTTCTCCCCTAAACATTTTATACCTTCAAGCAATTCTAAACCAAATCTGTAATCCCAGTATAGCTGTGCCTATGTAAATCAGCATCTTTCCTCTTTTCTTCCCAGAAATCATACAAAAGCAACAAGCACAACACAACTCCCACAAATTGCACTTTCAGTGATCCTTAAAAAAAATCTGTGAACTACTACTAAGTATTTGTTAGGACTACAAAAAGCAACTGAGATTCGGCAGAAACAATGTGGGAGGAAGGAAGGAAGCATGGGCTGTGGGAGAGCACCAGGGGACTCTCAGAAGGCTTGAGCAAAATTATACTTCTGGAAGGCAAATTTGGCAATATTCAGAAAAATTTCAAATGATATTTTATGATCTAGCTGCTAGACTTTAGATCCTTTCTAAGAATCATAGAGAAATTTGCATATGGGCATAATGAGACCAGTACAAGGATGTTTGTTGCAGCATTACTATGTGTAATCAAAAAATTAGAAGCAACTTAAAACATCACTTTTGAGAAGATAGCTTAAATTGTGGTAGAGTCCTACAGTGGAAGAATGCAGTTAGATCTCTGTGTATGACTAGCATCCCCAAAACAAAGTTGAGTAAAAAAGCAAGTTGCAGAATGATACAGTAAAATATCATGGATGTAAATATTAAATAAAAGATTATCGTGTCTCCCTCTCTCTCTCTGGCCCTCCCCCGTTCATGTTCTGTCTCTCTCTGTCTCAAAAATAAATAAATGTTAAAAAAAATTTAAAAAAAAATAAAAATAAAAGATTATCATATTGTTACTTATGTATAATTCATTTTCCCCCCAGCTTTCCTGAGATATAATTGACATACTGTGCAAGTTTAGGACACACCACATGACTTTATATACATATTTTTTGCAAAATGATTACCACAATAAGATTGGTTAACACACCTATTACCTCACATAGTACCATTGTTTTTTTTAGTGTGTGTAAAACATTTAAGATCTACTCTCTTGGCAGCTTTCAAGTATATAATACATTATTGTTAACTATAGTCACCATGCTGTACATTAGATCTCCAGAACTTACTCATCAAATAACTGAAAGCTTGTACCCTTTGACCATTTTCACCCATTTCTCCCATGCCTCTTACCCCTGGAAACCATCAGTCTATGCTCTGTTTCTAGGAATTTCAGTTTTGTTAGATTCCAGATATAAGTGAGATCATACAGTATTTGTGTTTTTCTGTCTAACTTATTTTACTTAGCATAATGCCCTCAAATTATCATTCATGTTGTTGCAAATGGCAGGATTTCCTTTTTTATGGCTGAGTTTTATATATTTTATATTACATATAAAATTGATCACATATTAATTTTATTCAATATATGTTTATTATATTTAATATGTTATATAGGAATTATACATATATCATTTTTTATAACATTCATGTGTTAATGGACACTTAAGTTGTTTCCATGTCTTGGCATCTGTAAATGCTGCAGTGAACACGGAGGTGCAGATATCTCTTTGAGATAGTAATTTCATTTCCTTCAGATATATACTCAGAAGTGAATCATATGGTACCTATATTTCTAGCTTTTTCAGGAACCTCCATACTGTTTTTCATAGCGGCTGTATCAATTACATTCCTGCCAATAGTGTGCTAGCGTTCCCTTTTCTCCACATCCTTGTCAGCATTTGTTACCTCTTGTCTTTTTGAAAACAGCCATCCTAACAGATGTGAAAGGATATCTCATATTTTTCTTTTGTAATTCCCTGATGATTAGTGATGTTGGGCACCTTTCATGTACCTACTGGCCTTTTTTTATATCTTCTTTGGAAAAATGGCTATTCATGTCATTTGTCCATTTTTTAGTTGCATTATTTTGTTCTTTGCTATTGATTTGTAGGAGTTCCTAATGTATTTAGGATATTAACTCCTTATCAGATATATGGTTTGAAAATATTTTCTCCCATTCCATAGTTTGCCTTTTCCTTTTGTTGCTCATTTCTTTTGCTGTGTAGAAGCCTTTTAGTTTGATGTAGTCCCATTTATTTATTTTGCTTTTGTTGCTTGTACTTTTGGTGTCATATCCAAAAAATCATTGCCAAGACTAACATCAAGAAGATTCCTTCCTATGTTTTCTTCTAGGAGCTTTACATTTAAGTCTTTAATCCATTTCAAGTTAATTTTTGTGATTAGTGTAAGATAAGGGTTCAGTTTCACTCTTTTGCATGTGAATATCCTATTTTTCCATTACCATTTATTGAAGAGGGTATCTTTCCCCCAGTGAGTATTCTTGGCCTCCTTGTCAAATATTAGTAGACTATGATTTCTGGGCTCTTGATTCTTTTTGTGTCTATGTGTTTATTTTTATGCTAGTACTATACTGTTTTGATTACTGTAGTCTTGTAATATAGTTTGAAACCAGAAAGTATGCCTTCACCTTTTTCTTTCTCAAGGTTGCTTTGGCTCTTTGGGTTCTTTTATGGTTCCATAGGAATTTTAGGATTGTTTTTCTATTTCTGTGAAAAATGTCATTGGGATCCTTATTAGGGATTATATCAAATCTTTGGATGTCCTTGCATAGTATGACTATTTTAACAATATTAATTCTTCCAATCCATGAACATGGGATATTTTTCCATTTATTCTTGTCATCTTCAATTTCTTTCATTAGTGTTTTATAGTTCTTAGCATATAGATCTTTTACCTCCTTGGCTAAATTTATTCCTGTTATTTTTGTAAATGGGATTATGTTCTTTATTTCTTTTTCAGGTAGTTCATTGTTAGTATTTAAAATACAACTGATTTTTGTATGTTGATATTGTATTCTGCAACTTTACAGAATTAGTATGTCAGTCTAACCATTTTTGATAGTCTTTATATTTTTCTATATCTAAGATTATGTTATCTGCAAATAGAGACCATTTTACTACTTCCTTTTTGATTTGGTTGGCTTTTATTTCTTTTTTGCCTGATTACTCTGGGTGGGACTTCCGGTACTATGTTGAATAGGAGTGATAAGAGTAGGCTCTTGTTTTGTTCCTGATCTTTGAGGAAAAGCTTTCGACCTCACTGTTGAGTGTGATTAACTGTCGACTTGTCTGTACAATTCATTTTTGTTTTATTTCTCTAATAGAGAGGAAGTATAGAGTAGTACATAAGACCACAAGGGTCAGATTGCTATGTTCAAATCCTGATTTCTGCCACTTACCAGCTGTAAGTTACTTTGATATTTCTTTGCATTTCAAAACATTGATTTGTCTAATATAGGGCATTCCAAGGTATGATTGTTCAGTAGTCACAGAATATTCTTCAAATACTCTCTAGCATGTTATGTGTAACTAAAATGTCTTCTGGCTGAGTAACTAACAAGAGGCAGTACAGGGGATAGATAACAAGCTGTGAAGCACAGTGTGAGGATGTTTCCCAATATCATTTCATCCTGTCTTAACCCTTGAATTTAAAAAGGATAGGAACTGAAAGGGAGTAAATTAAATACTGGAAGGTACATGAGTTTGTCCATGTGTTTCTAACTTGCTTTGCTTTACCATCCAGGTCGAGGGCTCCCAGCAGGACAAGCTGAAGTTGAGATGATAGAACGTGCCCGGGAGAAGCGTGCTTGGGAAGCCACTCTTCCCTGTCTGAGTGACACCTCCCAGTTTGAGAAGAGAAGGAGGATGATGAATGCGATGGAGAGGAAGGAATGGGCCTTCAGAGAGCAGGAGATTGAAAAGTAAGTTCTAGATTATCCAGACATCTGCACCTGCACTGGTGGAGTAACGTAAATACTTTTTATCTGTAAAGAATTTTCCCAAATATGTGGGTTTATAACAACCCTCCACCTGTAGAGATAGGAAATTGGGTTGCTGGTTCTTTCAGGAATAATAGCTCTATAATTTTCTCTCTAATAACATAAAAGTGTATAATGCCCTCTTTGTGTGTAAAGTGAAGCGTGGAACCCTTAACAGATTTGAACAATTCCTCAAAGCATCTGTGATTCTTCTCTTCCCTTTTCTCTTTAGGAAAAATCTAATTTAGACTATTTCAGAATCCCACTGCTTTCTGCAAATGTCTTTCAAACTGACTATTTTTATTTTTATTTTTTAACAGTTTTGTTGAGATACAGTTCACCTATCCTAGAGTTCACCATTTTAAAATGCACATTTTAGTCATCTTTACTATATTCACAGAGTTGTATCTCCATCATCACTATCTAATTTTATAACACTTTCCTCACTCCAAGAAAGAAACGTTAAAGAAACTCTAATCCATTAAAGAAACTTTCCATTTCCCCCTTCCACCATCCTTTACAAATATTCACCTACTTTCTGTTTCTTTGTATTTGTCTTTACTGGAAATTTCATATACATAGAATCATGAAGTATATGGTCTTTTGTAACTGGTTATTTTCACATGTGTTAAAGGTATACCTGCCTTGTACCATATATTAGTTCTTTTTCCCTTTTTATTTATTTTTTTTCTTTTAATTCAAGCGTATATTTGTTCCAATTATTTCTAACAATAGTAAACTAAAAAGAGATTTTTAGCATTTAAATTTTTCAGTAGTTTTTACTATTTTTTTTAAATTTATGTTTTTAATTTACATCCAAGTTAGTTAGCATATAGTGCAACAATGATTTCAGGAGTAGATTCCTTAATGCCCCTTACCCATTTAGCCCATCCCCCCTCCCACAATCCCTCCAATAACCCTCTGTTTGTTCTCCGTATTTAAGAGTCTCTTACATTTTGTCCCCCTCCCTGTTTTTATATTACTTTTGCTTCCCTTCCCTTATGTTCATCTGTTTTGTATCTTAAAGTCCTCATATGGGTGAAGTCATATGATATTTTTCTTTCTCTGACTGACTGATTTCATTTAGCATAATACCCTCCAGTTCCATCCACGTAGTTGCAAATAGCAAGATTTCATTCTTTTTGATTCCCGAGTAATCCATTATATATAT